GACACTAAGACTGCGTCAAGATCCCATTACCCTCCAATGAGCCTGGACAATGCCTTTAAGATGAAGAGATCATAATAATAATAATTTACCTCCTTTGCTCCCTCATCGCGCAATGCTATACGAACCCAAAAAGGAGCGATCAGCAATACGATGAGTATAACGGCGATATTCAACCATGACTCCGTAAGATGTGCATCCAAAAATATGGTACCAACCACAGAAAGCACCGCAAGCGTTGTCAGATCACCTGTATATGAAAACACATACCCGAATTTTCATAGGAGAAAGGTAAAGTAGTTAAACCTAACGAAGCAGCAATGGGAGTCGCTACGTTATCCGGATTAATGTTGTACTTCCTAGAAAATATGACTACCATGGCCATGAGCATACTGAGGATGAGCGAAGCGCAGCAAGCGGTTGCCAAGGAAGATGCGCATAAGAGAGCAGCGTGGGACCAATCGAACTGAAACTGCAACTTTTTTGAGCAGATGAAAACTGATACATCTGATTAGATGTTTGATATTCTCATATAGTTATTGCTTGATTTCTGAAAAAATGAAGGTTCTTGCTCTCGGCTCCGGTATAGATACATGCGAATTGTTTTTGTTTTGATTGAAGATCAACGGCTGTAACACAAAAAATGGAATTACCTGCCCACGTGGTATCCAAGCTAGAATCATAGCAAAAGCTGAAGCAAGGAATGCAATAACTGTTGCTTGCACTTGTATCAGAGCCAAATTCGACAAGATAACCTCCTTCCTTTGAGTTGAGTTATCTAGGTGACCTAGATTTGCCTAAAACAGTATGCGAAAATCTGGAAAAGTCAGGACGAGGTACAGGTAAGGACAGAATACTTACCAAGGTAGACAGTCGACTAGCTAACGTCATCTCCAAATTCCCCTTTAACCCTAGAAGTGCAGGAACTAAGATGAAGATTTCCGGGACTTCTTTGAACAGTTTCCAGTGTTGTACAATATCAAGCACTACTCCAGCGCAAACCATGCCTATTCCGGCTATGGAAAACGGAAAGACAACCTGAAAACATTCTGTGAGATATACACTCTCGCTCTCCTCTTCGCCAACATCAATGGAGTTTGTAACCGGACAAACATAGCCAGAAACGGCGCTCGCACTTCCATATTAGAACTTTCTATCTTTGCTAAAGACGTCAAATGAAATGATGGCAGCCTCTGGTTTTACAACTCGAGATATTATACATACTGAATTAACTACGTTGTAAAGCCAGTAAACTTTTTTAAGATTTAAAATGGTTGCAATACAAAGCAGAAAAAGAAGACATACATACTGAATTAACCACGTTGTAAAGCCAGTAAACTTTTTTAACATTGAAATTGTTGCAATACAAAGCAGAAAAAGAAGACGTACTTGGAAGAATAAGAGATAACTCGATTCGGGACTGGATCCGGCGACATGAATCTCAACATCTTGGCTGATCTGTGCTACGGGAACACCCTCATCGTGATATGACTTGGCCCTAAATGCGCCTCATATAACGGAAAAAATAGCAGCACTTTGAAAGAAAGCTTACACATTGTTCGGTGGAGTCTCAGTATCAAACCTCTCATACGGAGGGGTCGCACCCCCAGTCATGATATGGTTAGTGCTGCCTCGAGTAAAATGATGGCGGTCTCAGCGAGCCCTGCTTCACCACCGGTTCTGAGCTTAAATAGCTAGAAGACAATAAAATGCAGCACAAAACACAGGTACAGGACGATAAACGCCAAAATTAAGCGGAAGTTAATGATAAATTAGAATTTATTTTCAAAACAGCACAAAAAACAACATCAACGAAGACAGGGACACCGCTTTGTGAGAGATACTTACTAGACTACGAATGATATAGCTATAAATCATTGTCTATTCTTCTTTTTATCCTCATTCGATTTTACGGCGAAGAACGATTCTCTATCAGCTGGTTCAATATTATTTTCCGTGGCAAACTGCACCAAGCAGCGCTTCATGGCATAAGCGTCCTCGCCATCAGCATAATATCTGAAAGCTTGAACTGACAAGCAACGGAAGGTGTAGTACAAATGCTTCAATGAATATTGTACTAACGATATAAGAAGACGCAGTCAGATCGATCTGTAACGCGCAGCGCCTATTATGTAAAGCAGGTTTTCTTTGAGGT